TGGACTAATGGTTAGTGGGCTGGTCCAGTTACCGATTATTACTGAATAGTGAGTTCGAACCGGGCGAGTCCAATATAGCTTTGTGGCCGTGGCTATGTGAATGTCAAGGAAAAAAAAGACAGAAGAAGGAGGAAATAAATAATCAATGGATATAAAAAAGAATTAGACAGTGAATATATATATATATATATATATATATATATATATATAAAGTTTCATTAAATATGACAGACAGGGTATTTTAATTAATTTTTTTATATAATTTCTCATATGATATTTTTTTTCGGTAGATAATTTATACAAAAACTGTCCAAATGTTATATTTTTTCCGAGCGTTTTCGGCTAGACATTTAGCCATTTTCAGGGATGACATATATTAACTGTTAACTGTAGTTTGTACGTATTTAGTATTATAGAATGTTTTATTTTCAAAACACAGTCAACATATTGTGTCCATGTTCATATTTGATATTACAGAGTGTTGGTTTTTTTTTTTATTAATAAGGCTTCCATTATTTTTAGCCATGTTATTATATTTGTATTATAAATATATAGCCGAAAGCGCTCGGGAAAATATAACAATTGTACAGTTTTTTATAATTTATCTACGGAAAAGGAAAAAAAATATAAGATCATAAGAGAAATTATATAAAAAAAGATAATCAAATCTCCTTGTCTGACATATTTAATGAAGCTTGCAGGAAAAAAGCATTGTTACCCTAAATACGCAATATATATATATATATATATATATATATATATATATATATATATATATATATATATATATATATATATATATATATATTTGCCTGATGATTGCGTTTAGCACGAAACAGCCTGTCGCCTCTGAGTGTTGACTTTTATATTTATATTTACATATGCTCTATCTCTGATATTGAGCACTTCATAACATAAATATAGCACACCTTAAAACTGTATGTCTATATATATATATATATATATATATATATATATATATAATATAAACTATATATATATATATATATATATATATATATATATATATATATATATATATATATATATATAATGAAAAAATTTGGAAAAAACAAACAAAAATCCTTAAATGCAAAACAGATAACTGGATACGACTTGTTGTTTATGTCCATATATATTTTGTATATGTATGTCAAATTGAACTGAATTGTATTTTAATGAATATTGTCTTGAAAAAGGTTTATTAAACCGAAACGTCAGACGTCGACATTTCATTCATTTTAAAACAACATAATTGCATTTAAGGATTTTTTGTTTGTTTTTTCCAAATTTTTCTTCATTCTGTCGGATCTATATCCATTTCCATTTGCTTACATATATATATATATATATATATATATATATATATATATATATATATATATATGGCAAACTCGAAGTCGTAGCAATAGTCAAGGAAGAAAGAAATACTATAAAGAAAGAATGAATGATTGGAAAGAAAAAAAACGATCATAAAGAAAGGAAATAAAGAAAAGGAAAAAAAGGTGGAATAAAAGCAATACAGTCTTCACATTTATATTTATATTTACATACGCTCTATCTCTGATATTGAGCACTTTATCCCATAAATATAGCACACATTAAAACTATATTTCTATATATTATATATATATATATATATATATATATATATATATATATTGTAGGTCTGATGATTTGGATCGTATTTACGATTCCAATGGAATAAATTATGACCATGAAATATTAGTGTTTAAGCCTTTCTATTATATCCTTACTCTGTCCTAGACATTGAGTTCTACCTGGATTCTTCCTCTTGAAAAATTTTTTTCTGAAAATATACATGTATGGGTATTTTTATATATATTTTGCATATGTATGTATATTTTCCTCTAATATTCTCTCTCTCTCTCTCTATATATCTATATATATATATATATATATATATATATATATATATATATAAACTCGAAAAAAAAAAAACGACCATAAATAAAGAAAGGAAAAAGAAAAAGGAAAAAAAAAGGTGGAATTAAATTCATTTAAAGAACAAACAAAAATTCTGTTTTATTTTTTTTCGAAATCCATTGAAGAAGCTAGATTGGTCAAGCAAAAGGCATCGTAATCGACGTCCCCAGGCGGAATCGAATGATCAGCATTTGTGGCGCAAATTGAAATAGTTTCCGTTAAGAAGGAAATGAAGAGAATAAAAAGTCATATGAAAGAAACTATCTTTCGGGAAGCAAATGAAAGAGTTTTAAGAAAGAATGAAAACAATGAATGAGAAAAAATTTAAAAAAAATCAAGAATGAAATAAAATTAGGGCGGAAAGTAATGTGAAAATTCGAACGAAAATGTATAACCTGAGCCTCAGCTCAAGATAACACATATTTTACTATGATGGCAGTAGCTGGTGTTGCAATTCTGATAAAACCACAATTTCTAATAAAGATATTTAAAGGCCAACATATCCTCACATTTGGTCTAGTTGCATATAACATTTTTCTTACACATAACTTTTAAACTAGCTTAAATAGATGACTAAAAGTTAAGAAGAAAGAAAGAATTTCAGAAGGAAGCAGATAGAAAATTATGCTTAAAACAATAAATAATACGGAGAAAAACGATGTATACCTGGTATTACATAGCCATACACATAATATCCGATAAACAAATACATGGTATTACATACACATAATTTTATAGTCATATACGTAATATTCCATAGACTTATAGATAATTAGATATATATGGTACTACATAAGACCTTTACATGGCATTACATATACATACAGTGGGTAGCAAAAGTATTTGACACTCTTGAACAGTGCCACATCTTTGGGACATGGTGTGATTTTGTATTTCAGCAAGACAATGACCCAAAGCATACTGCTAAAACAACTAAGAATTGGTTTAATAATAATGACATTAATGTCCTGGAATGGCCAACCAGTCACCGGATTAAATTCCAATCGAAAATTTGTGGAAACTATTGAAGTCACGAGTTCATAAAAGAAATCCATCGAATTTAAACAAATTGAAGAAAATTTGTGAAGAAGAATGGGTCAAATACCAACAAGTACCTGCAAGAAACTAGTTGAAGACTACGGGAAACGACTGGAGGCTGTGAAGCAGAATAGAGGCTACTGTACTAAATATTAGTAAAGTGTGTTAAATACTTTTGCATATGGGTTATTTTATTTATTGTTAATAAATGTTTCTCAAAACAGTGGTTTTAAATTTTCCTTCTATGTTTTGATTGACAATGTTCGTTTAAATATTTCCTATATTATAGTATTCTACTACTCCTAAAGCATTCTATTCCTTCTAAAGCATTCTATTCCTTCTAAAGTCTTAGCATTCTACTCCTCCTAAAGCATTCTATTCCTTCTAAAGTCTTAGCATTCTACCCTCCTAAAGCATTCTATTCCTTCTAAAGTCTTAGCATTCTACTCCTCCTAAAGCATTCTATTCCTTCTAAAGTCTTAGCATTCTACTCCTCCTAAAGCATTCTATTCCTTCTAAAGTCTTAGCATTCTACCCTCCTAAAGCATTCTATTCCTTCTAAAGTCTTAGCATTCTACCCTCCTAAAGCATTCTATTCCTTCTAAAGTCTTAGCATTCTACTCCTCCTAAAGCATTCTATTCCTTCTAAAGTCTTAGCATTCTACTCCTCCTAAAGCATTCTATTCCTTCTAAAGTCTTAGCATTCTACTCCTCCTAAAGCATTCTATTCCTTCTAAAGTCTTAGCATTCTACTCCTCCTAAAGCATTCTATTCCTTCTAAAGTCTTAGCATTCTACTCCTAAAGCATTCTATTCCTTCTAAAGTCTTAGCATTCTACTCCTCCTAAAGCATTCTATTCCTTCTAAAGTCTTAGCATTCTACCTCCTAAAGCATTCTATTCCTTCTAAAGTCTTAGCATTCTACTCCTCCATAAAGCATTCTATTCCTTCTAAAGTCTTAGCATTCTACTCCTCCTAAACATTCTATTCCTTCTAAAGTCTTAGCATTCTTCCTTAGCATTCTCCTAAAGCATTCTATTCCTTCTAAAGTCTTAGCATTCTACCCTCCTAAAGCATTCTATTCCTTCTAAAGTCTTAGCATTCTACCTCCTCCTAAAGCATTCTATTCCTTCTAAAGTCTTAGCATTCTACTCCTCCTAAAGCATTCTATTCCTTCTAAAGTCTTATTCATTCCTTCTAAAGTCTTAGCATTCCTCCTCCTAAAGCATTCTAAAACATTCTATTCCTTCTAAAGTCTTAGCATTCTACTCCTCCTAAACATTCTATTCCTTCTAAAGTCTTAGCATTCTACTACTCCTAAAGCATTCTATTCCTTCTAAAGTCTTAGCATTCTACTACTCCTAAAGCATTCTATTCCTTCTAAAGTCTTAGCATTCTACTCCCAAAGCATTCTATTCCTTCTAAAGTCTTAGCATTCTACTCCTCCTAAAGCATTCTATTCCTTCTAAAGTCTTAGCATTCTACTACTCCTAAAGCATTCTATTCCTTCTAAAGTCTTAGCATTCTACTCCTCCTAAAGCATTCTATTCCTTCTAAAGTCTTAGCATTCTTCTCCCCCTAAAGCATTCTATTCCTTCCAAAGTCTTAGCATTCTACTCCTCCTAAACATTCTATTCCTTCTAAAGTCTTAGAATTCTACTCCTCCTAAAGACTTCGCATTCTATTCTTCCTAAAATCTTAGCATTCTATTATTTCTAGCATTCTCCACTTACATTCTTAGCATTCTACTTCTCCTAAAGATTTAGCATTCTAATTCAACCAAACATTTAGCATTCTATTTCTTCTTAAGACTTATCATTCTATTTCTCCTAAAGTCTTATCATGCTATTGATTTAAAGCCTTTGCATTCAAATGCTTCTAAATTATTGGCATTCTACCCATAAATTCTTAGCATTCTACTCCTCCTAAAGTCAATCTATTCCTTCTTATTATTATTCTATACCGTCTAAAGCCTTAATATTCTATGCCTTTTAAAGTTTTAGCATTCTATTACTTCTAATGAGAGCGAGAGAGAGAGAGAGAGAGAGAAAGAAAGAGAGATACAGTGATAAGGAAAGGAGGAGATAAGGGCAGGTTGACAGACAGGTAATCAATATTTTGTAAGCATTTCAGGCGATCGTGTCTATATCTTTAATGAGTTTTAGGTGCTACTATAGTTTGATATCTACCGAGACATTTGCGATTTACCGTAAATGAAGATACACTCATTATTACTAGAAAACGCCCAGTAAAACGATGACCTGTTTACTGTTTGTTTGTTTTTTTTTAAATAACATCAAATCACTTTGCAAACATTAAAATCACTAGTTGTTATTTTTTTTATTATTTTGTTGTAAAAAATATTAATGATTTTAATGCATAACTAATTTTAAACCTAAACTCTATGTATTTACTCTGTTTCACTACTAATGCAAGTTGTGACACAAGGTCAGTTTTTAAGATGGATCATCCGGCGTGTACACCCGGGCTAGGAACAAAAATTGTCGGTTGCTCTGGCCTCGGTGCGAGCACCGATCCCTCTCTCTGGTGCAATGAGAGGGCGCGGCTTCAGGCAGCTTTTCCCCAAAGCTGGGCACCTCTCAGTAAAATTTTCCTCAGTTGCGACTCTGTCCTTTGACGGAGCCGCCCTTGAGTGGCCTTTGTCTAAAGACAGAAACGTAACTGAGAAATGATAAATAGATGTGTTACAAAACACTCGAGAGGGTGATTTACACACAACCTAACTCTAACTCTAATCCATAACCCCTACATATTTCATACTTACAACATTTAGTAAATATCATACCGTAGTAGAAAATGAATAATAGTTATACTATAGTAGTAAATGGACGGTAGATATGATACTATAGTAGAAAATGGACGGTAGATATGATACTATAGTAGAAAATGGACAGTAGATATCATACTATGGTAGAAATTAGATGGTAGATCTCATACTATAGTAGAAACTGGACGGTTGATATCATACTATAGTAGAAAATGGACGGTAGATATCATACTATGGTAGAAAATGGATTGTAGATATCATACTATGGTAGAAAATGGGCGGTAGATATCATACTATAGTAGAAAAAGGACAGTAGATATCATACTATGGTAGAAATTAGAAGGTAGATATAATACTATAGTAGAAAATAGACGGTAGATATCTTCCTATAGTAAAAATGGACGGTAGATATCATCCTATAGTAAAAGAAATGGACGGTAGATATACTATGGTAGAAAATAGACGGTAGATATCTTCCTATGGTAAAAATGGACGGTAGATATCATCATATAGTAAAAGAAATGGACGGTAGATATCATACTATGGTAGAAAATAGACGGTAGATATCTTCCTATAGTACAAATGGACGGTAGATATCATCCTATAGTAAAAGAATGGACGGTAGATATGATACTATGGTAGAAATTAGAAGGTAGATATCATACTATAGTAGCATCGAAATTTAAAATGTACTTGTAATTTAAAATCTAAAAATTTAAAAGATCATCGATTGTGAAAATGAGAGACAAAATCCTGCCGAAATGGAGGTTTCTTCTCTTCTCTGGTCTGTCTAAAGTTAGCATTTCTAATATATAATTGTGTTATTATACGTAGAATTGTAAAATGGCTCCCATGAGAAATTTTTCGTCGGATTGTTTGGTCTGCATGAATAACAATAATAAATATATTTTGTCTGAAGAGATAAAATTAAACGTCACCACACAACAAAAAACAAAACAAAAAATGTGACGGTAACATCTAGAAACCTCCGAAAACAGAAATGTAGACAAAAAAAAATAGCAAAAAGAAAGAAAAACACGAGAAAGTTCACTGCGAAAGGTTTTTAAGATAAATCTTTTCAAGGAAAAAGAAAGAAAAAAAATAACTTCACACGTTTCACTCTCATCATTTTTCCTTCTCCATAGAAATAAACAGATTTTTAGACAAAGCTCATTGTTGTCAGCGCAATAGGACTATTAACAAATAAGAACAAATCCAATTTCGGTAAAAAGTCAGGTGACTTGAGTTCGCTGTGTGGAACAAATAAGTAAACAACGATTGGTAAGTTTTACTTGCTAAACACTGTATCCACGGCATGTAGCAATAAACGACATCATCAGAAGAGGTTTGAATGCAGCTGAGTTCCCTTCCCAAATGGAACTTCCAGCCCTCGACCGTGATGATAGAAAGCGGCCGGATGGCATTACCGTTTTCCCTTTTAAAATGGGGAAGTCGTTGATTTGGGATGCGATTTCTGCGGATACATTTTCGACTGGTAATTTGATCAGGTCAGCGATTGAGCCGGGTTCCGTCGCCCGGGACGCAGAGATAAAAAAAAAAAAGAAAAAGAAAATAGGTAAATATTCTTCTCTTGCTGATAGATTTTTTTTTACTCCTGTGGCAGTGGAGACTTCTGGGGTTATTGGCCCTCATTCGATGGCGTTCCTTCGGAGGATTGGCAAGTCTCGATTAAAGGAGGAGCCTCGCGAAACGAAGTGGCTCTTGCAGCGTGTCTCACTGGCGATGGGGCGAGGTAATGCTTTCTCCATCATTGCGGCTGGCAGATGATAGCAAAAAAAAAATTGTTTGTAGTTATTTGTTCAAACATTTTTTTCAATAAACTTTTTATGTTTAAAAAAAGAAGCGAGAAACAAACACTGATTATAATCAAAGGAATCTAAACTGCGATCATTTTCGCACTCAGGTACTTAAATATATAGACAAGTATCATAGCGGTTATAGACGCAGAAGATGAAATCGGGGAGTCGCGTTAGGTTTAAGTTTGTGAAGTTCAAATTGCGCTGAATAGATATGACTGATTTCAACGGTTTATCAACGCTTTGCAGAATATTTAAATCAACAAAATATTTTTACACTGTAAGAATTTTTTATTTTAGATATTAATGATTTACTGTTATATGTCTTACTAATTAACACAAGCTTAAAGTTCTTATTATTTAAAATAGGTAGGAATCTATTATATCTTCCCCAACAAAGTGTTAATAGAAGTTTACACAATCTTTTTCTTTGCACATTGGTGGTAACTATCTGGGTCGACTATTTGAAACTGCCAATATACACAGAACAGGAAGCTGTGAAGTGTTATGATCGTTTCGCCATTAAAAAAATGTAGGGTAATGAGCGAGGAAAGAATGCCAAAAAGTACTGAGCACGAAACGAGGAAATAAAGCTATTTTAAGTCGTAAGCAATCATGCCAATATAAACAGAAAAATTGTAGAGAGATTTGGACAGGAAGGAAAAGGAAAATTGTAGAGTTTTGGACGAGGAAGGAGAGTGAAAATTGTAGAGTTTTGGACGAGGAAGGGAGAGTGAAAATTGTAGAGTTTTGACGAGGAAGGGAGACTGAAAATTGTAGAGATTTGGACGAGGAAGGATTTGCCAAGGGAGACTGAAATTGTGATTAAAAAAATGTAGGGTAAAATTGTGAGCGAGGAAAGAAAATGCGAGGAAGGAGAGGGTGAAATTGTAGATATTTGGACGAAAAGAGTAAATGAGCACGAAACGAGGAAAATAAACGAGGAAGGGAGAGTAAATTGTATTTTGGACGAGGAAGGGAGAGTAAAAATTGTTTTGGACGAGGAAGGGAGAGGAAAATTGTAGAGATTTGGACGAGGAAGGAGAGGAAATTGTAGAGTTTTGGACGAGGAAGGAGAGTGAAAAAGAGATTTGGACGAGGAAGGGAGAGTGAAAATTGTAGAGTTTGGACGAGGGAGAGGGAGGGAGTTTTGGACGAGGAAGGAGAGAGAAAATTGTAGAGATTTGGACGAGGAAGGGAGAGGAAAATTTGATATTTGACGAGGAAGGGAGAGGAAAATTGTAGAGATTTGGACGAGGAAGGGAGAGGAAATTGTAGATATTTGGACGAGGAAGGGAGAGTGAAATTTTTTGGACGAGGAAGGAGAGTGAAATTGTAGATATTTGGATATTTGGAAGGAAGGGAGAAAAATTGTAAGTTTTGGACGAGGAAGGAGAGAAAATTGTAGAGATTTGGACGAGGAAGGGAGAAAATTGTAGAGATTTGGACGAGGAAGGGAGAGGAAATTGGACGAGAAGGAAGGAGAGGTGAAAAGGAGAGTTTGTAGAGTTTTGGACGAGGAAGGGAGAGTGAAAATTGTAGAGATTTGGACGGAAGGAGAGTGAAAAATTGTAGATATTTGGACGAGGAAGGGAGAAAAATTGTAGAGTTTTGTCGAGGATTTGATATTTGGACGAGGAAGGGAAAGTGAAAAATGTAGAGATTTGGACGAGGAAGGGAGAGTTTGTAGAGATTTGGTCGAGGAAGGAAAGTGAAAATTGTAGAGATTTGGACGAGGAAGGAAAAGAAAATTGTATAGATTTGGACGAGGAAGGAGAAAATTGTAGAGATTTGGACGAGGAAGGAAAGTGAAAATTGTAGAGTTTTGGACGAGGAAGGAGAGAGGAAATTGTAGAGATTTGGACGAGGAAGGAGAGTGAAAATTGTAGATTTGGACGAGGAAGGAGCGGAAAATTGTAGAGATTTGGACGAGGAAGGAAAGGAAAATTGTAGAGATTTGGAAAAGGGAAAGTGAAAAATTGAATTTGGACGAGGAAGGGAAAGTTTTGGACGAGATTTGAAAATTGAGGAAGGAAAGTCGAAAAAAGTTTTGTTGTAGAGATTTGGACGAGGAAGGAAAGGAAAATTGGAGTTTTGGAAAAGGAGAGGAAATTGTAGAGATTTGGACGAGGAAGAGGAAAATTGTAGAGATTTGGACGAGGAAGGAAAGGAAAATTGTATTGTGAAAATTGTAGACATTTGGAAGAGGAAGGAAAGGTGAATATTGAGATTTGGACAATGAAGGGAGGCGGGGTGAAAATTGGAGATTTGGCTGAAAATTGTTGTAGAGATTTGATTTATTGTCGAGATTTGGCCGAGGAAGGGCGGGGAGAAAATTGTAGAGATTTGGACGAGGAAGGGAGAGTGAAAATTGTAGATATTTGGACGAGGAAGGGAGAGTGAAAATTGTAGAGATTTGGACGAGGAAGGGAAAGTGAAAATTGTAGAGATTTGGACGAGGAAGGGAGAGTGAAAAATTGTACATTTGAAGAGGAAGGAAAGGTGAATATTGTCGATTTGAGAGATTTGGAGGATGACGGAGTGGTGAATCTTGTAGAGATTTGGACGTGGAAGGGAGAGTGAAAATTGTAGAGATTTGGACGAGGGACGGAGGGTGAATATTGTCGAGATTTGGCCGAGGAAGGGCGGGAGAAAATTGTAGAGATTTGGACGAAAATTGCTTTGGACGAGGAAGGAGAGTGAAAATTGTAGAGATTTGGACGATGGACGGAGGTGAATATTGTCGAGATTTGGCCGAGGAAGGGCGGGAGAAAATTTTAGAGATTTGGACGAGGAAGGAAGACTGATAATTTTTAGAGATTTGGAGGATGACGGAGTGGTGAATCTTGTAGAGATTTGAACGAGGAAGGGAAAGTGAAAATTGTAGAGTTTTGGACGAGAAACGGAGGGTGAAAATTGTAGACATTTGGAAGAGGATTGAAAGGTGAATATTGTCGAGATTTGGACAATGAAGGGAGGCGGGGTGAAAACTGTAGAGATTTGGACGATGAAGGAAGACTGACAATTCTAGAGTTTTGGATGAGGAAGGGAGAATGAAAATTGTAGATTTTTGAACGAGTAAGAGAGGCTGAAAATTGTCGAGATTTGGACGAAGAAGAAAAGTTGAAAATTGCTGAGCACGAAGCGAAGTATTTTCGCTGTTTTTTATATAGCAAAATAATGCATAAACAACAATATAGAACAGGGATAATCTTTCCAGAGACGAGTTATTAGTATATATATATATATATATATATATATATATATATATATATATAAAACAGCTACAGACAACAGTCTCTTTTTTATGCTGAAAGCACTTTAACCCATATATATCGCATACCTTAAAACTATATTTTATCATATATATATATATATATATATATATACATATACATATATATATATACACATATATATATATAGATATATAGTGAGAGATAGAGAGAGAAAGATTTGTGCGTGAAAGAGAGAAAGTATGTTATAGAGAGATGGCGTGACATAAATAAACCGAGTATGGTAAATTTTCCATGCTCCCAGTGCTGTGAACAGTGTTTCGGGTGGGTTGGTTTGGCTTAATCCTGTGATCAGTGTCCAAAATTCTAGTTATTTCCAGGAGGCGAACACCAAATACAGGCAATTAACACACAACGCAAAATCAACGTAGAAGAAGAAGAAGAAGAAGAAGAAGAAGAAGAAGAAGAAGAAGAAGAAGAAGAAGAAGAACAACAACAACAACAACAACAACAACCTTTCGAGACAAAAAAAGAAAGCAAAAAGCAAGAAGGAAAGAAAGAAAGAAGAAAAGAAATAAGAAGAAAAAAGATATGAATGGACGGGTTGGGCAGTCGAGATACCAACATCACTAAATCATCATACGATCATTTGTATACAAGTGAGTAAATGAACGAATGTGTGCGAATGAATCTTGAGTGCGAACAATGCAACTGATTGTGTTCCAGCCGACATGGGTAAAGCAGAAAGGAACGGAATGGCTTCTGTCGACAGTGGGTCAAGGCAAAGAAGCCATTTTGGGGGCAATTAATGGTTTTAGGGAAATGGTGCTGGCGGAGAGAAAGGAGGCAATACGATGAAAATGAAGGGAGAAAAAAAGAGTTAATGACCGAACTGATGGATGATTAAGAGAAAGTATTTTTTTTAATATATATATACTTTTTTTTTTTTTACAAAAGGGAATCTGTTTGCGAAAGATATTTTTTCAGCAGATGTTGAATAATATAAATTTGGATGCTATGCGCATGTATGTACGATCAGTCACCAGATACATACGTATACTCAAAGATGCACACACATACAATGAAACACATGTGTACAGTGACATAAACATAGAGACTGAGAGAAAAAGAGGGAAGATCATATATATCTTTATGCATGTATATATATATATATATATATATATAGGGAGAGAGAGAGGGTGAGAGAGAGCGAGAAAGAGAAAAAGAGAGAGAAAGGGACAGAGAGAGCTAGTAAGAGAGAGAGAGAGAAAGATCTGCAATCTGAAAATCACTCAATATACTTAATTTTAGACAACTTACATGCTAATACCCTTGGGAAAGATATTAATCCTCTTCCTCTCCCTCAAGATATGGGCAAATAGCAGGTTCTATAGCCTTGCATGGTAACTGGTCTAGGAGAAAGACAACCTGGGGACCTTGTCTCTGTTTTCGGGCCTCCAAAAAGTGTGATTTGTTCTGCACAAAACTTTCACCACTGTAATTAAATCATATGTGCTGGTGTCTGGCTGTCGGTTCCTAGAAAATGATCTGTTTGACCCTCATACGTCGAATACGACGGGAGAGTCCACCATATACACACAGACACACACAAAGACACACACAGACACACACAGACACACATACATAGATAGATAGATAGATAGATAGATAGATAGATAGATAGATAGATAGATAATACCAAAAAATTTATGTAGGACATTCTGGAGGCTGTTGTATTACAAGGGAAGCAGCCAGCATTTTAGTAAGATATTTTTTTTCATAGGAGGTCGTATACTGAAATATGTAGGTAAAAAATAAATTCAAATAAATTCGAAATAAAATTCCCGTTTTACTTTTTAAATGACGTCAACTTGAGAGATTTCAAATTCGTTTCAGCAAACGTTTGAATGCAGGAATTGACCACGGACATTTACAACACACAAAACATAATCCTTGAAAACGAATGTAGCAGATTTCGAAAGTACTGGGGAATAAATAAAAAGAAATATGGACCTTGGTAAATTTACCGATTTCATGAAACAACTAATTCAGAAATTTCAAAAATTTAATAAAAAATTGGATAGCCATAACTTGTCGATATTTTATATATATATATATATATATATATATATATATATATATATATATATATATATATATATATATGATGACGATGGTTGGTAATGCGTAAATATACATTTGGTAATTGTGAATATACATGTATGTTCGAATTACTCATAAACTTAGAACAAATTAGACAAAAAAGACTGCCATGTTTAATCAGGTATAGCTAATTATACCAAATTATTTTTTTAGATAGATAGATAGATAGATAGATAGATAGAAAGATAGATAGATAGATATGTATAATAATAGATATAGGGTGCAACAGAAATACCTGCCATAAATTCCTCCCCGATAATGGTAAGTGATTAGCGCAATGAGGACACCATTGCTACTAATTTCATACCATTATATGGGATGTATTTCTGCGTCACCCTGTATAATAGATATAATAATGTAAATAATATTAATGAGAGCAAATTGAAATAGATAGAAAGACCTGTGGGCTACTTATGTTAGTTTCCTGACAAAAAATTGTAGGTTTGACACCTGCCTTGTGCACGAAGGTATGGACGATGGTATGTTCATGAAGGATACAGAAGTGAGGCTGCCTAGTAATCGTCATCTTTTGTGTTCCTGAAATCTATTCTTTTATTGTCCTTTCTCTCCACTAAAGTCTTTTCATTCTCTTTCACTCTCAGTAACCGCTGGCGTCTTAATGGCATTGTCGACATCTTCTGTCTTCCTGAAACCTATTCTTTTATTGTATTTTCTCCCCACTAAAGTCTTCTCATTCTCTTTCACTCTCAGTAACCGCTGGCGTCTTAATGGCATTGTCGCCATCTTCTGTCTTCCTGAAACCTGTTCTTTTATTGTCCTTTTTTCCCCACTCATTCTCTTTCACCCACAGTAACCTCTGGCGTCTTAATGGTATTGTCGCCATCTTCTGTCTTCCTGAAACCTGTTCTTTTATTGTCCTTTTTTCCCCACTTAATTCTTCTCATTCTCTTTCACTCTCAGTAACCCCTGACATCTTAATGGCATTGTCACCTTGCTTGGGGTGAAATTAATTTAAAAAATAGTCTTGTGGGACATCCATCAGTAAATCTGTTTCGTGAAGTAAATATTTTCTTTAGAATAGCGAAGGTTTTGTTTTAATCATTCAATAACTAACTTTGATTGCAGTCAGTACATTTGTTAATGTTAATATCTCAGTATCCCGATGATTAAACCATTTCATTGCGCTAGTATTTATTATTTTTAATTGCAGCATTTGATTATTTTCCAGGTAATAAAACGCTTCCTTGGTAAATATTAAATCCTAAATCGAAAATTACAATCTAGAATTGGAATGTAGTTAATGCAGAATAACAATATAATTGTATTCCGCTAGATTAACTGTCTTCTGTGACCGAAATGTTTAAAGTGGCGTCCATGAAGAACGGATTCTTTACGTACCATGATGCAAAGTTTGAAGTAAACTTTCTACTTTTTAATTTCGTACCTTGTACTCTTTATTGTTCAAAGAGTAATATCGACTTTGAGTTCTGTGATAAAAAGCGATAATAAGCAAAGTTAATGTTGTGGATTCCGAGATGAATTCGGTCTCCAATGAAGAACAAACGCAATAATTAAATATAAAAAATAAAATGTATTTACACAATCATACAAAGGGTAATACCGTTAGTAAATCCAGGAACACGGTTAGTAGCAAATACAGATAGATATATACAGTCTCGAAGTAGGACTTCCTTAGAGTCTACGTGCTTGTAACTGACTTCTACAAGAGGCTACCTCACACTATGTCCGTTCGTATATTCTCTCTCTCTCTTTTCGACTACCCTCTCACTATCCGACTACCCTCACACTGTAACTCTGGGTATTTAACGGCAGCAGTCCAGGTACACTGGTAGAGTCCACTTATATGAAAAAGGGGTGGACCCCATAACAGTTAATATCTTCGAAGAAATAAAGAGAAACTAGTATTATTTTACTGTTAGTTCAACCAATAAAAGTTCCAAGAGCCACTCAATGTAGATGGTTACTGAGGAAGATTGTTGAAAGATAGAGAGAATTGGAAATTAAGAGCATACTATTAGAAAAACTAGGATAGATATCGATTGATCAAAGACTTAAAGGTTGTAGATGTCAGAGATGTATTATCTCGGGGGTTTGTTCTAAAAACTAATAGCTCTGGGGAAGAATCTATCTGAGAACTTTTTCAAACGATGAGGAAAGGAATGGGTATGATTTGTCACTGTGAACACAGCATGGCGGGTGTGGGGGGATCCTAGCTGTGAAGGTCTGAGCTGGTGCAACTCAGGAATGTAACGCGTCCACTAAAGCAGTAGCAGAAAAATTATGATTTAAAATAAACTGAAAGATCTATGACTAAATCTAACAACGTACAGTTGATTCGACGGATAATATGTCAGAAATTTATATTTAGCCTTAAGCGAATCTAAACGTTGGAAGAGCCCTATCTTTTGAACTAGTGTAGTGGTCTATCCCTTGTTTCCTGTTTAGGATTGGGTTTCCGGTTCCTTCTAAAGTCAACTTCATCTCTATACTTCTAACGTCTCTGACTGAATTTTGCATTGTTATTCACTAATGTAAATCTTGACCGTTTCAAGTCTTGTATTAGCCGTTATATTTCCTGCATATCCACAAGAAATTCAACCGCTTGGTATGACGATAAACTACATCCGCGTCCAGGGTAAGACGATAAACTACATATGCGCCTTGGGTAAGAAAATTAATAATATCCGCCTCCTGGGTATGACGATAAACTACATCCGATAGCAAGGCCTTTGATCAGGAGGTTTTGTGGAGCGTGGAGCCACCTGTTAAAGGCTGGCGTTCCCAAGTCTATTCTGACTCGTGGTGGTAGCACCTGTTAGGGTTTTAGCTATGCGCAAATAGTTAACCACTAACCTGGGATCAAAACGTGTTAAAAATGTTTTAACACCAGCAAAACATTTTTGTAAAAAATTGTTATTATTATTATTACCAGAAAATACTTTTGGAAAAAAATATTACCAGAAATAAAGCATTGAGATTGATATGCCGTAAACGAAACCAAACAAGAACTTCATTTTTTGCCCATTCATATGCTAATCCGGCATCACAGTAACCCTCTAGCTTGAGTGCTTCTTTGGCCTTTTTTGGGTGAGCATTAATAAACAAAAAACACTTTTGTGTAGCGAGTTCAAAATGCTTTTATTATAATCTCTTATACTATATACACACACACACACAAACACACACACACACACACACACACACACACATATATATATATATATATATATATATATATATATATATATATTACAATTTCGTACAAAAAAAAAACTTTACTAATTTACATTTTATATGAATCTTACATTGTAATATAAATTAAACTCCACCACACAATTTATTTAAAAGAACTGATTCGAAGTGCAAATTTTCGGGATAACAACTGAGACATTGCTCTACTTATTGAGCTATTTAGTTCACGCCAGGTTGACTGATAAACTCCTACAGCAAAAAAATTCTTAAATTGCCATATTAGTAAAAAAAATAAGTTCTCACTGAAATTTTCAAAAATTCAACCTTAGCGTTGCGACTGCACGCTCCACAATGTTGTGTCATTTATCAATAACACACCTAAAAAAACATATTTCGATTTCCATTATATTTTTTCGTTTCGGATGCTAACTGAATTTTACCAAAAACAAAATAGTTTCCATGCCTGAAGATGAACAGAGAACCTGTCGAAAGTACTTGAATATTTAAGGAAGACCTAATACAGTTTATAATTTAAAAAAAAACAAGTATCATAATATTCATCGACTGATTAGTAGGTTAATGCATTTTTAAATTTTAGTTAGAAAAGTGATTATTATTATTTTGAAATTTATTGAGTTTTATAAGCACATACATTCATAATATTAGTTTCTAAGAATACGAGGAAATTCAATCATTTTCAAAAGAAGTGATAGGGTTTTCATTTTCACTGACAACTATTGTATCAAAATATGAGTTACTTTCGAAAAGAGGTTAAGTTGGGTTAGGGCGCCATTTTTCAATGAATGAGGACATCCGTTTAACGCATGTCGTCTGGTCTTTATCAACGACAAAATGTTTTTTCGGAGCTTTTGTTTCGCCGTTAAATTTTTAATTGTACACATGAAGATTTTTTTCTAATTACTAATGGACTATAGTTTTTTAAAACAAATAAATGTAATAGACTTACTTAAATTATTTTAAAAATATTATTAAATATCAAATATAAATATGTATATTCCATTTATTAGCCTTTTTTAATACATTATTTAAGGAAAATCTTTGACAATGTCAGCAAAGTATAGCTATTTCATTTCTTTAAGTAAATTTTTATTTTTATAAAACTAATAATGTATATTTTCTCATGTATGCACAAAGGACATGGGTCATTTAATGACCTATATATTCTAAATGTTCTTATTAATTTCCATTTCACAATAGGTGTTTTATTGGTTTCTTTTAAGTGCCAGAAATATTTCGATAGGGACGTCAGATTTCGGTATTTATTTAACCTAAAAAAATTCTGTTGGTTATTGAACCGTTACTTGAATTCATGTCTTGTGTATCTAATGTAGACTTTTACGTTGTCTGATAGATGAGATATTGCGTTGGTATTGGTATACTAATGATTCAGTGAGACATTTATTATTGAGAGGACAGTTATGAGGATTCTACAGTTACATAATTTTTGTTTAACTTCATCTCTTTATTTTTTATACTGTCTAATTTATTTGGTCTTCATCTAAGTGTTTATTCAAGCATTATGTTTATTAATATCTTTTATAAGTTTTCAGTACAACTGTAACTTAATTTTAGGGTATTTTTATTGAAAATAGTACTGAGTTTACTATCTATAGGAAAATGTTTAACGATTAATGTGATTGCTAAAAAAGAGCATAGTCTGATGAAAAAGACGCCAAAATTGACGAAAACAAAATTTTAGCGTCTAAATGTTTATCTTATTAAATGTTTATATTATTAAGAGGAAAGAGCGAAGTATTTTTAATTATTTTTTTAAAAATACTTTTTTTTTTAGAAAATACTGAATTTTGATTTTAAAAAAAATCTTGTTTCTCTTTGTACCACCGGACCTAGTAAAATAACAGATGAATTTTTAGCATGTTTTTTATTTTTGTATGACAGACATTAATTTGGAAAATATTGCAAAAATAATTGTCGGATGTTAATAAAACTTTCAGAAACTGTTTAGAAATGATGGAAATTATTATGAATATGTTTTCTTTTTTTAAAGTCAAGGAAATTTTTTTAATGTTTATTATCGCCCCCCCCCACCGAACTATTTTATGAAAACTCTAGAAATTCAATCGCATTCAGTTTAGTGATTATATTAGTTAAAAGCACAAGGCGCTGAGGAAAGCAAATCATGTACATTTTTTTAATTGGAATATCAGCTCTGAATTGTAACATACAAAACTCAATAAAACAAAGATATTATTTAATTTCAAATCCTTTTATATGCTTTTAGTTGTTTTTATGGCTATGGAAATATTTTCTGAAGGCGAAAATTTTTTCGATGA